CCCTCTTCTGTTCCACCCCTTTATATATCTTTTGCATAAGGCGGGAACCCTTTGTCTCTCTGGGTTTCCACCCCCCCTCACTGGAAAAGCACCAGGTTAAAGATGGATTCCAGTTCAGGTGACATGATCACATGTCACTGCAGGACTTCATTACTCACTTCCCAGCACACACATATACAGGGAGACTCACAGGTAAACAGCCATCTGCAGACAATGGGAGTCATCAAGATTCCAAGCCATCATTAATGGCCCACACTTTACATAATTACAATAGGCCCTCAGAGATACATTTTATATTTCTAGTTTTAGATACAAGAGTGGTACATTTATACAAATCAGATGATCATACTCAGTAGATTATAAGCTTTGTAATGATACCTTACAAGAGACCTTTTGCATGAAGCATATCCCAGTACGTTACATTCACTTATTACCGTATTTTCTCTAAAACTATCCCAGTTACATTATATTGACTTATTATCAAGTTTTTATAAAACCATATAGACTGCACAACGTCACAGGTGGTGAAGCACTGGAATGGGTTACCTAGGGAGGGTGGTGGAATCTCCATCCTTAGAGGTTTTTAAGGCCTGGCTTGACAAAACACTGGATGGGATGATTTATTTGATGTTGGTCCTGCTTTGAGCAGGGGATTGGACTAGATGACCTCCTGAGGTCTCTTCCAACCATAATATTCTATGATTCTATGACTCTGTGAAAAGTGACTCCTCCTGGTAGAGCTTATTCACCTCCCCATAAGGGAACAGCTATACTGATATATACTCCATCTGCACTGGGGTGGGGGACGGGGACCGTTAATGACATTGGTTTAAAAAGACACTGTTAGTTAAACAGGTGTGAATGCATATGAAGTAAAGGCCCAGCATTTACAGTTGTGATGAATGTGTTAATTCACAGTTAATGAGCTTGAGTTAAAACAGGCCCCAACACTCTTCTGGACAAGCCAAATGGGGAATCCCTTCCTGTCTCCCCATCCAGGGGACTCCAGGTGCAGACTCTGCCCCACTGACTGGCTGTCGCTCAGGGGAAAGTGCTACTGGGTTTCTGAAGACAATACGGAGAAGACTGGGAGCCATGCGATGGCTTAGCAAAGAGGGCTCAAGCCCTAGGGATCCAGGACTTGGATGAAATGGTGATGTGAAATGTGCCGGGTAGAAACTACAGCTGCAGAGAGACCTGGTCTTCCTGGAAGGCAGAGCAGAGGAGTAGCAGGGGCTGGTGAACCTCAATAACCTTCCCTGACTGCGGGAAGCCCCCATTCCTGCTGGGGAGCGGGGAGACAGCGGCCAGGCAGCTTCAGAGCAGTTATTTGTCTGCTCATGTCCTCTCCACTTCCCATGAAATGATCCTGCAGCCTTCAGCTATGACTACAATGCATGCAGGGAGTCAGCCACCTGCGTGCCTAGGGGTGTAGCAATGGCAGTGATGGCCTCTTTGCCCAAGAACACTATCACATATGATAAGAATGCAGAGACATGAAGACAGGAGATAGTGGTGTGGAAAGGGTGAGGGCCCCAGGGGCATGGAAGGATATGGTGAGAGTAGCAGAGACATCAAAGACATGGTGGAGGGTGTAAAGAAACCCTGTTCCATGGGAGTTAGAATGGTCTCATGATTGTGGCACTGGACTAAGAATTAGGAGACCTGGGTTCCATTTCTGCCCTGCTGGGTAAGTCAGAAATTCTTAGTGCACAGACTGTAAATTAAAATAGGTTTGACTTCTTCAGGGACAAGAAACTGTCCAGAGCAGTGGCATTTGTGGCCCTTTCAATTATGATGTGCTGGTTCCATCAGGCAGTTTGTGTTTCCCCTGCTTGGTTTGGGTCCCTCTTAGATCTCCAAGGAGACCTTTGAGTGCTCTGGTTCACGTTCTCTGGTTTCTTTGGATAGACAGCAGAGAACCCCTGGAGTTACAGAAGGTTCTGGTCACCCTGGTGCCTCTGTCATATGCTTTGCAGGAGTTCATACAGGATCTCAGGCAAGGCAAATGTCCTGCTTGGATTGGACTTAACTTTACAACCCCTGCAATGAAGTGGACTTGAGTGGATGGCTCCCCGTTACATCAAACACTTTGCATCTTTCCCCATGTTAAATACATCTGAAGTGTTTTTAAACATTAGCCAAGCTAATTGTTCATCATTATCAGTATTTATTATTGCTGCACAATAAAGCCTCTAATCAGCTATAACAAGTGCACATGTGAACTAATGGATGACATAGTGCAGCAACGACTTCTACTGACCGTTGTGCTGGCACAGTGACAGCATATTTATGCAAGTTTTCAGTTGCAGAAGTTGGGCCTGTATTTATTTACTTCTGAAAAACACCAAAAGTTAGATTCTGACTGTGTGGAGACATCAACTATTATAGAAACCACATTATAACATTTACTTTGCTTACTATATATGGGATTATAACAAAAATGTCACAGGGAAGATCCAAATGAGAACTCTAGCCTGTGTTCTTGCACATAGGTTGTTAAACCCTGGGAATTGCTGGAGCAGATTGAATCGGGCTCTATCCAGTCCCACAGAGGTGACACCAGTTTGTACTGACAGCTACAGATGATTTTTCAAAAGAGGTTGAAGAAATTCCTCTTAGAACTATGACAGCACATGAGGTGCAGAAGAAGACACGTAAAATTATCTATCAACATGGCTGCCTAGAGCAGATACTGGTGGATCTAGGTTCTGAATTGAATAATGAGGTAACAGTTTACATTTGGAGTTATGTTCCCTATATGGTCAATTACACAATCATGGCAGTGTGACAGGGGGCTGTTAGCAGCAACAAACAGAGCCCTTTGGAAGCCAGCACCCTGGTCACTGAGAACACCCAGGGCACCGGGTGCAGTTAGAGTAGGAGGGACTGAGCAGTTTGAGTTTGGAAGGGTAGAGGGGATCACGTGCACTTGTAGGGAGCCTGATGAGGTCACTAGCTCAGCGCTGAGAAGAAAGCAGCAGTATAAAAGGCTGAACCAGGGAGCAGGAAGGGGGCTCCTCGTAACTACTGCTATGTTGTGATGCACCATAAAAAGTAATAAAGACACTTGGTGGAGGTTCCCTGGCAGACTGCCTGCTGCTTAATTCACAAAGAGGTCCGTCACCGAGGAGTTGCAGGAACTGATGGGGGAGCCCATTCATAGTTAGAAATTTAAAAATGAACATTGCCTGCAATCTCTTCATGGCACTTCATGCTGTAAATTGTGAGTGACCACACATTTTTATGTGTTGTCAGATAGTAAAAACCATGTTGTATATTAACCTATTTGCCAACATATTTTCCCATGTAATAACACAATAAGATTGGATAAGAAACCACAGTAATTACACGTAATTCAGTGAGAAATAGGGAAAGGAATGCAGATATTTCTGAAGGGAATTTTAGGGAAAAAATTATCTATTTTTAGATTACAATTTCCCTGTGTTAAAAACTAGGAAAAATATATAGCTTCAGCAGCCCATGCTGCCAAGACACCAGCAGACTGGATAAAAACACAAATGAATCCATCACAAGATAATTTTAGGATATTTATTTTCAAATAATCAAGGTAAGATTAGGGCACATTGCCATGAATGGCATATTGTGAATAAATCTTCAAAACTGAATTATTACATTGAAAATGTTCATAACGCATCACATTTAAAACAGAAAGTAGTCCTAGCAATGCCATGTGATGTGCCTCCCCTCAGACTCTGCTCAGCTAGCTCTTCAAGAAATTAGGTTCAGTTGCTCATTTGAAGGAATTAGACCAATTGGTCACTATTTTTACAGAGCATTTCAGAAGGTGGTGGACAGAACCCAGAGGAATTGTGATGAATTTCCTGGAGCAATTTTATTTTCTTTGTATTCTAAACCTCACATGACAACAAAAATATCACCCTTTCAACTGATTTATGGCCGAGAAGAAAGGTTTCCCAAGAAAGCTTAACCAAATTTCATGTTATGTGTCATTAAGTGCCAGCGTCTTTAATACAATTAAGTTAATTTGTGATGATTCAGCAAAGGAATACAGCTCCTTCTCTATTTCTTTATCAAACTACATTTGTTGTGTCCTTATAACCAAGAACATGAAGAGCCCAGCAGTACATTGAAATCAGCAGTGGACACTGACTGTACACTGCCTGGACATAATATTTCTAAAGAAAAATAAACCAAAAAATGGAGATTGTAGAAGAGATTTCTATCTATAGGAAGATAGCGTTTGAGGTTGGGGACCTTGTTTTATTAACTGATGGAGAAAAAGTAAGGAAGGGTCATATCTTGATTACTGATTATATGTAGCTAGAAAGTTAAAAATCACATGAATTAATACTGACAGAAGTTCAAAGAATATTATATAATCTTGTGTGTGTTAGAATTAATTAAGCAATATATTTAAGTTATCATTTTTTCACCTATTAATTTTCAAAGATGTAGTGCAGGAGGTGGGTGTATGTGCCCGGCCTTCCAGAGAGAATCAGTCAAGACAATAAAGAGAGGGGGAGAGAGAGAGCAGCTGCACATGTGTGTGGTTGTGATGTTTATGACACATGTACATTGTAACTGAACAACCCAGTCTGACAATTTAATAGTTTATTTTGTTAAGATAAATATTTTGGATTTCTTGAAATTCCACAGTTGAAATACAAATGACGTTATTTAGAAAAGTTAAACTTCACTATAGATTTGAGGGAAGAATCAAAAAATAAATGTAAATAATTCAATTTCTCAAAATATGTTTAAAAGCTTGTTTTTGAAATACAGTTGAAAAGTAAATTAAAATATTATTGTATTTACACCTTGTTATAACAATATTTTCTAAATTTGAATAATCTTTTTTTCTTTCATATTTTACATTGAGATTTCACAGTGGTAGAAAATTCTGACAGGAGTGAATGACGCCATCCACCCCCATCTGCTACCCCTGGGGCAGGGGACGGGGAAGGTGAGGGCTGGGGATTTTCAGGTGTCCAGTTTTAAACTGGAAGCTCCACTTGAAAAGGGAAACTGGCAGCGTCCGGTCAGCACAAAAAGTCCAGTTGCTGCAGTAACTGGCCCCCACCACTGGGGGCGGGAAGAGCAGCAGCGCTGGGAGGGGACAGTCTGTGCCGCGGGGTCACTGTCAGGGACAGAGATTCCCTCCGGCCTGAGCTGGGACCGGGCAGATTATCAGGGGAGACGCGTTTGTACTCCCAGTATAGAAATAAGGGCGGAGCGTCCCGGAGAAGGTGCCAGTGAAAGTGAAGAGATGGGACCTGTCAGTCACATTGTAAAACGAGACCTCGCCCGCCTCATAGTCCAGGAAAATCCCCACCCGGCTGGGCCTGACGCTCACGGGGAGGGGGGTCGGGTGTGAGGTGAGGGCCTCGTATTCCCCACCCCTCAGCCACACGGCCCAGTATCCATCCTCAGGTGAGAGTGTGACCTTCCCCTTCCTGCTCACAGATTCCCTACAACCCCCCAGAGTCCATCTTGTCTTGTCTCCCACCTCCACCTCCCAGTATCGCCTCCCGCCCACGAACCCCTCAGCGCCCAGGACACAGGGACAAGGATCAAATCTCTCAGGATTGTCGGGCAGATCCTGGCGTTTGTCTCCGAGTCTCACACGTTTCTGATCCTCAGACAGGACGAGTTGGGGATTTGCCGTGTCTGGATCCAGAGTCACGTCCACTGGGGAGAGAGTCACAGAGTCAGGGCCGGGGGCAGGGGCTGGTCACTGGGATCAAAAGGAAATTAACCTGCACCCCCACTAAATCGCTGGGGGGGGGCGGGGTTGTTGCCTGAGAGGAGTCAGGGCCCTTCTGCCTGTGAGGAGACAATGGGAGGAAAGGGCAGGAGGAGCGGGGGAGGGGACAGGCTGTCAGTGGGGCGGGGGAGGGGACAAGTTGATGCTGGGAGAGGAAAGGGGAGGGGGAGGTGACAGGAGCAGAGGGGGTGGAGGGAGGTACAGAAAGGAGGGGCAGGCACAAGGGCAATGAGGGGAAAAAGGAAGGGGTGGGTACCAGGGGGACAAAGGGGGGTGAAGGGAGGGGCAGGTTCCCGGGGGGTGAGGGAAGGGATGTGCACAGGGCAGAAGAAGGGGACGGACCCCAGGGGGCACAGGGAAGCAAGGGAAAGGTCAGGCACCAGGGGGCAGAGGGATGTGAGGGAATGGGGGGGTCTCCAATGGGGCAGAGGGAATCAAGGGGAGGGACTGGTGCCAGGGGGTGGGGGGGGGGGATGAGGAGTAGGGCAGGTGCCAGCACCATGCAGGGAGGGAATGGGAAGACACCAGCGGGACAGAGTGAGGCAGGAGCCCGGGGGCAGAGGGGCTCTTTATGACAGGGACAGTGTCACCAGTGGGTGGAGGAGGGCTAGAGGAGGAGGGGCAGGTACCAGGGGGCTGCGGGGTGTGTGTGTGTGAGGAGAGGAGCATGTGCCGGGGGCAGAGTGGGGTGATGGGATGGGTGGGTACTAGTGGGGGCTAAGCAGGACAACAAGGGGCAGGTACCAGGGCTGTAGAGCATGAGTGCTAAGGACTGGTGCTAAGGGAAAGAGAGAGACAAGGGGAGGGGTGGGCACCAGGAGTCCAAAGTGGGGGGGTCAGGAGAGAGGGCGGTCACTGGGGGACAGAGGGGGGAGAGGGAAGGGGCTTGCACCAGGGGACACAAGGGGTTAACAAAGGGGCAGGTGCTAGGGAGGCAGAGGGGGAGTAGAAGGAGGGGCTGGCACCAGGGGAAAAGGAGGGGGTGGGAGAAGGCGCAGGTGACATGGGTACAAAGAGGGGCGAGGGGTAGGGCAGGTGCCAGAGGGGCATTGGGGGGGTAAAGGGTGGGGAGCCCCCAGGGGACAACAAGACAGTGAGGGAAAGGGTAGTTACCAAGGGGGAAGAGGGGCATGAGGGTTGGGTGCCAGGATGACAGTGGGTGGAGGGAAGGAGTAGCCACCAGGAGGAATGGGGGGGATTGAGCAGAGGGACAGATGGAAGGAGGGGAGAGAGGAGGAGGTGGGCACCAGGGGGCAGAGTGGGGGCAAGGGAACAGGTGCGCACGGGGGGAACAGACTGCACAGCCTCCATCGGCCGGGACAGACACACCCAGCTTGGCCCCTTCCACTGCCCCCTGCTGGGGGTGGGTGGGAAGAGCGGAGCGGCGGGGGTAGGATGAAAGGGCCAGTTCAACAATCACAGACCGAGCTCACTGAACCTTCCCACACCCCTCTCCTCTGCCTTAGTTTCTTCTCTCTCCCTCATTGCGGTCAGGTTTCTGCCTTTGCCCCCGGTCTCTGCGCTGGGGTTGTGGGGAGGGGTTTGGATGGGGGCAGCTCACGCTCAGCTGTTGTGACAGGGTCACACTCTTGAGAGTGAGTCTCACTCACTGAGCAGCAAACCAGTGATGCAACCTCACACTGGTCTGTGCTCAGAGCAGACTAGGGGCCCGTAGGATTCAGCTTGTTACCCAGTAACACACGGCCCAGGTCAGACCACAGCAGCCAGACCGGCCCCTCCTCCAGCTCAGAAAGCTTGGCCAGCCTTGGCTAATGGGGGCGGGGGCAGTGCTGAACGGTGGCCACACAATGCAGCCCTCACATGTCCCAGGAGAGAGGCACAAACACGTCATCTGTTACCAGTCTGTGCAGCACCCAGCACAATGGGCCCAGTCCAGGCCTCACGGCACCTGGCTCAGTGACACCCATTAACTCAGCCATGGAGGGGTCAGGATGTCAGAGTGATGGGGCCTGGTCAGATACCTGGGCAAGTACCAGCAGGTGGCTGTAAGTAGCAGAGAAACTGCACAGCACTGAGCACATCAGCCTCCAGCTATCACACAGCTCCAAGCCTGTCAGCTGGGTCCATGCATGTCCTGGGGTCCCAGGCTCTGTCCAGATCCCCTGGCACAATACAGCTGAATGTCCCAGTAGACTCCACTCACCTCCAAATCTCTTCAGCACTTCATTCATGTCAAGGGAAATTTTATACACATTCTTCAGGTCAGTAGAAATGGCTTCTGGTTCCTGGAGTTTCACATTCTCACTCCTATGAAGAAAACATCCCATCATCACTCAGCTGTTCTGTGCACACATCACTGCAGAGCCGCTACTGAGGATATAAGAGCCATGAACATCGGAAACGTACCTGCTCAATGTGCTTTTCACATCCTGGAAGGAGAAAGAGAATCAATGTTCTGTATTAATACAATGTGCATCAAACTCACTCGGGGCATCACATTTTCATCTAGAAAATAGATCAACCCTCCCAGGCTTCACTGTTTTGTGGTAAAATCTCACACACCGTTTTGCATTAACACTTGTTTCATGTATGTAGGTGAGACAGGAATTTAGCTGAAGGTTTCTCCCTTCTCGGGACCCAGCCCATCAGTATCTGTGTTTATCGACTGGGTTGGGTCCAATGTTCTGGAGTCAGAGCAGGGATGGGTTTAGCTCAGTATCATCCATTTAATCTCCCATGGCCTCACTGGGTCTCCATGAGGAGAATTCCCCTCGGACATGAACTGCGATATTTTGGAACTGATGGAGCCCTTAGCCGGATGTTCTGTTTGTCTGTAAACCACAGAACACATTTACTCTAATTGTTGGGATCCAGACTCAGGGATCTGAGTTATAATTCTGGATGGGTGGAGAATTTTGATGCCATCTCACCTTTAGCAGCTCGACAACTGGTTGCTGACACTTCTCCTCAACCTCTGTGATCAGCTGCTGCAGAGAGGAGCTTTGCCGGGAGAGTTTGGTGACATTTTCCTGTAGCTTCTGCAGAGTCGCCCTCTCCTCCTCCTCCAGGCTCTGCAGAAGCAGCTGCTCCTCCGCTCTCAGCAGCGTGTGCAGTTTCTCAAATTCACCTGCAATCGTCTCTCTCTTGTTCTTCACTTTCCTCTGAAGATAGAAACATAGGAAAGACACAGAGAAAACGTGAGCCGGATGTTGAGTTACACAAACTGGGCCTCTGACCATGAAGCAGGGGATATTAGTTCAGTATCAGGGTTGTAAGGATATTTACTTCTTTGGGAAGCGTACAAAAAAGGGTTTGTTTTAGTTCAGAATTAATAAGGCCAGTTCCATCGCGGGGTCGTCTAGGGTGCTTTGTAAAGCCGCAGTATGTTATTGCAGGTGGCATGAGATGGACACAGTGGAGTGGGGAGAAATCGAGGGAACAGGAGAGATTTACAGGAGGCTTCCCAGGGTGTCCGTGGAGGGATTTGGGTGTCCAGTGTTGGGCACTCAGACACCAAGGGGAGCCGATACAGTGGGATGTGGGCGATGCTCCTTCTTTGACAACCTGCTCCCAGGGCTGCAAAGTTCAGGACCTTGGGCTGGTGCTAATAGTCCTTTGGGTGATACCCTGGGGCTCACATGGGTGTTGGGCACCCAGGGCATTGTCAGGGCTGGCTTTGGCCTCACCCAGCCTGGTCGAATGCCCCATGCCCATGTGTCTAGTAGCCTGGGAACGCAGCCTTTAGGGATCCCTCTAGGCTCACAGAGCAGTGGGTTGGCTGATGCCAGCTGTGTCCCCACCTGCTCTCTGAAAGGAGCCGTGGGAACGATGCTGAGCAGCTGCTGATCCTGGCTGGGGGAGGGGCTGGCTGCTCTGCACTGGCCTCTCTAGCTCCCCTGCAGCTCAGCTCAGTCTGTGCCCTGCGCTGACCCCCCCCCCTTCCCTGTGCAGGGCTCTAACCCGTCTGTCTGTCCGGCTCACCTGTGTGGTGGGGGAGGGGCTGTGCTCAGTTTCTGAAGAGGCAGCTGCTTGAGTGCTGGAACTTCCACCTCCTACCTCTGCCCCGGCTAACCCGAGTGACGCAGCGTTATCATATCTCCTAACATCTCCCCCCATCAGACACGGACAGCGCATCCTTCATGGGGCCTGTCACCTCCCGGCCCTGCTCCCGCCCATGGGGATACCCCCATCTGGCTCAGACCCGTGACAGCCCCTCTCAGTGGGTGACTGGCCGCCCCTGCTGGAACTCGTCTCACAGTCGCTGGGCCTGCAGTTACTCTGCCGAGTGACACTGATCATTGGGCCGTGATCTCTGGTGATGTAGGACGTAACTCGGTCTCATGAGGCAATAATCAATGGTTTCAGAACCACCCCAGTGACTGTCCCAAGGTGCAGCCGTCTCCATGGCACCGGCTGGGCACTTTGCCGGACACATTCAAACCTGGCTGTTAATTGTTATGCACCTAAATCCCTATTGTCTGGGGAACTGAGCACCAGCTGCTTCCGGTGCGGTCAGTGGGAGCTGCTGTGGTTCTGTCCTCTGGAAATCAGCCACTTCCACCCGGCTCTAAATACGGCTTCAGATGCAGAACCAGAGGCACCCAGCTCTGAGCATTTCAGCTCTTGTAAATGGCCATTTTTATCTGAATAGTGGGACACCTACTTCTCCTCTCA